ACAGGCACTAATATCCCAGTGGATGAGGGAGATGAGGCTGTGGGAGTGAGCAGATTAAGCCCCTGGCCAACAGCTCTATAGCGGCCCTGAGAGAGCCCCTGCTCCCCACATCTGGGCAGTTTTCCTGGAGGGCTGGTGGTCCCACAGGAGGCTCACTTTCAGTCCCCACAGCCACCCTGAGAGACTGGGCCTCTGCCACCAGACCCATTTTTCAAGTGAGGGCACCCAGGCCCTCATCACTGCAGAGACGCTGTGTATCTGAAGATCACATGAGAGGTGCCCCCGGGCTGTCACTTGGTGCAGAGCTTTCTGCAGAGGCGAAAAATATGTGCAAACAAAACCAACAGCTTTCTTTATGTTCCCCAAAGTTGCTAAAAATGCCTGTGGGTTTGCACACAAGCAGACGCTGTGTTCATAGTGCTGTGCAGCTTCTGTCTTCCTGGCTTGGCAGGAGGAGACCTGGCAGGTATTTCTCACATCTCTGTTAAACACATGCATCAGACAGGGGAGGAATTCCAAGGTAGTCCCAGGGTATGGATCTCTGCCAGCTCTCCTTTTACTTGTTGTTAAGTCAGGAGAAGAAAGAAAAGGAAAGAAAGATACCTTGTGGATGAGCCCACGATCTGTGGGGTAACTGGTGTGGGGAAACATGCACTCCCTGCCTTGGGGTCAGACGGCCCTGTGCCCTGATTTGAACTGTCTGACCCACAAGCCTGTGACCTTAACCATGTGGCTTAGCCTCTCTGAACTAACCTTAGTCTGTACATAGGCGGGACAGTACCTTCTGCAGAAACCTAAGCTCCAAGGGGCGAGGGGTTTTTATTCTGCTTTCCTACATTCCAGTGCCTAGACTAGTTCCTGACACACTGTCTTACTTAGATAAATGAGTGAATGAGTGAATGAATGAATGATTTGCTATTTTGCAGGGTTGTAGAAAAGTTAAAACAAGAGCATGGACCTGAAACTGATCCTGGAAATTGCTACAAAAACATGAGGATTTATGATGATCACAGCACAGTCTGGGTTCTGTCAAAGCAATATTTCTTGTTGATTTATAAGCTTTTTCCTAACACTGGGTAAAAGAAATATAAGACCTGGTTCTTCCTCCACATGCTCACTGTCGGGTAGGAAGGTACACAAGTACATCAAATACTAAAATAGGGCAGAGGTGAGCTCAGTGCTGTGGGAACGACAAGAGAGAGTGACTAACCCACGCTGCAAGAGGCAGGGTGGAGAACTTTCTGGAAGAGGTGCTCTGGAACAGTCCCAATTTCAAATCTCTCTTCAGACTTTTCCCAGCAAACTTAGCCCCTGAAGGCACTGGGCTTCCCTGCCACCCTGTCTGGCACCTGGGTCATCATTTCCTCCTGTCCTCCTGACACCACGATTTCTCTAGTTCCCTCTTGAGTCATTACAGTGCTGGCAAACCCAGCCCTGGTTAAAGGTGACCTCCATGTACTCCGCCTCCACACCTGTGTGGGGCCAGAGCCGGAGAAGACCCTGCTCACAGCTGTGCCTGGCAAGCCCCCATGTTATTTCTTCTGGGTTTACTCCTCAGTCCTAATGATTTCAGACTTTTCCTTCTACCTTCAAACCTCCAGTGCCTCCTTCATCATCACTTTCCACTCAAGACCTTGCTTCCCGTCTTACAGAGCAAATAGCAGCCCAGAAGAGAAATTCCCTGTGTTCCTCCCAGCGCCCGCCATGAGGCGTGAGGAAAGTGGGCCACACTCTGACCCAGCATAGACATTCTTCCGGGAGAAGGTGGAGAGAGGACAGCACTGTGGAGGTGAGGGAGGAGAAAGCATTTAGCACAGAAGAGTCCAGGGTGCGCCTCAGGTGTCTTCCTGGGCATCTGGGAGACTCACCGTTGACTGAGGCCGGCAGTAGAGAGCCGACCGTCGTCAGAGGGCCTGGGGGACTGCAGTGATTGGCTGAGGGACATTACGGAAAAGCACAGCTGAGGATGTGGGCAGGGCAGTGCCCATGGTGAGCTTGGGAGGTCACACTTGTGCAGCCTTGGTCCACATGGTGGTCTGACTTAGAAGGCCATCGTCACTGAGAAGGGCGTGAAGGACCGCACTTCCTCAAAGCAGTAGGTGCAGCCCAGGCTGACTGCTGTGACCACCTTCATCTGCCCCTTTCTCTCTTCCCTTCTTTATACACCGACAGATGCACGTGAGAGGCTGGCTAAGACTCCCCCCAGGCACCCAAGGACGCACATGGGAAAGAGGCAGTTTCCTTCATGATGATGAGACAAGGCCAAAGGAACCCCATTTCTATGATCCTTCTGTGCAGCTGGCTGCTGAAAGCAAACCCATCCCACCCACCCACCACCCGTTGACAGGAAGCACAAATTCCAGTGAGGGCTGATGGGTGGGGGCTGACTGAGGAAAACACCAAGTGTGTCAGGATGGGAAGACAAAACAGAGGAGGGAAGCAGGGTGTGGGGCAAGGTGTGCCACTGAAGGACAGCCAGCAAGGGCCTCCCTGGGCAGGTGGCCTGCAGCAGGGGTGTAGTGGGAAAGGGAAGTCAGGATCCCACCTCCAAGGAGACAGAGGGGCCCTTGTGGTAACCCCAGGTCTTATGACTCTGATTGTGAGGGAAGCCATGGAAGGGTTTGGAACACAAGAAGTGACTTGATCCGACTCATGGTTAAGAGGGATGTTTTTCCAGAGACTGTGTAGAGAACAGAGGAGAGGGAGGTGGAGACGGGAGCAGAGAAGGTGCAGTGGTAATTCAGGTGCAGGTGAAGACTCCATGGTGGAGATGGTCAGAAGTGGCTAATGCTGTGCGTCCAGAAGAGAAGCAACAGTGTTTGCTGACAGGTCGGAAAGTGGTGTCAAAATGTGGGGGTGAAAAATGACTCTTAGATTCCTAACCTGAGTGAATGGAAGGATTGAGCTGCCATTCACTGCGAGAGGAAAGTCAGCAAGAAGGGCAACGTGGGGTGCTGGGTGAAGCAGGAGTCAGTTTCTGCAGCATATTAAATGGAGAGGTGTAAAGGGTGTCATGCTGAGGAGCCAGGCTGGACACACCCATAGGTATCCACGGTGTGGAAACTCGTGCTCTCTGGGAGGAGGAGACACACAGAGGAGAAGGGAACTGAAAGCAGAGCCCAGGGCCTCCAGAGTTAGTTAGGGTTGGGAAGATGGGGAGGAGCCAGCAAAGGAGACTGAGCAGAAGCCACTGAGTTGGGAGGGACCAAGGGACTGTTGTCCTGAAAGCCGAGACAGAAGGGACTTCACAGAGGAGGGAGAGAGCAAGGTGTCAAAAGCTGCCACCTTCTTTAGCATCTAGCCTGAGTCTTGACCGTTGGGCTTATGTAAGGAATCACTGCCACTTCAACAAGAGCAGTTTTGGAGGTGGAGTGGGTGGCAAAAGCCTGACCAGGGAAAATCCAAGAGTGGAGGAGAGGCTGTGTAGAGGAGCTTCACTGTAAAGAGGAACAAAGAAATGGGGTGATAGGTGGAGGAGGATGTGGGCTCAATGGAGGGATGTGTGCATGCGTGTGCGTGTGTGTGTGTGTATGTGCATGTGCTCAATGATAGAAATTACCAAGTCTTAGAGACATCTTTATTTTATTTTATTTTTTATTTTTGTTGGTACTGGGAATCAAACTCAGGACCCACTGCTAGCCAGGTAGGCGCTTGTGCTACTGAGCTATCCCCAGCCCCTGAAGTCTTAGAGACAAACACAGTAGCCTTGGGCAGATGAGGGGCGTGGGTTCTGGTACCCAGTGGAGGAGCAAGAGACTTCTGGGCACAGACTACGCCCATCATAACAGAAGAGCACATGGTGCAGAGAGAGTGTCCCCAGTGTCCCACTCAGTGTTGTGGAACTTGCACTTCCATGACACCAGTTATGTGCCAGGCTCTGCTCTTAGTCATTCCCATCTACTAACTTCGAATGGTCGCAACCACCCTGGGAGGGAGTCGCTGTGCTGTGTCCATTTTACACAGTGTTGAGGCACAATAACAACCTTAGTGATTTTGTCCAGAGTCCCAAGTGCACTGTGTGGCACAGCCTAGCAGATGACTACTGCTCCCTTGCATAAGTGGGCAGACTAAGAGGAGCTACCTCATTTTGTGACCCAGGGCTGGCCATGTTAACTGGTTTCTCCTTCTGAGACACGGACCTGGGGGTGGGGTCACTGGTACCAAGAGTCCGTGCGGGGCCTCGGAGAGGTCTTTGGGGTGGTTCCTCCCTACGGTGTGTGTCACCCATGGCTCCCACTGGGGGAGCTAAGGTATTCCATGATTGCTCTTTAGGGCTTCTGTAGGATGCTGAGTCCCCCGAGAGCCATGGTCACCAGCCTTTTTGGGGAGCTGATGGGAGGGAGAAAGAAACTGGGACAGCTGCTCACCTTCTTCTGCTGCTCACCAGCTGAGGCTGTGAGCAAGTCACTTCCATGCCCTGGGCCTCAGCTACAGAGTGCGCAACGCACGAGAGGTCATACACAGCTCACTTCCTGGACCACATGCTGCTTCAGCACACACCTGGGCGCACTGTATGCAAAAGAATGCAGAACGCCAGGGTGTGACAGAGCACATGGGACAGGGACAAGGCGCCACCCCTGGCTCCACAGACTCTGCAAGCTGTGGGAGGGGCCCACTGTGATACAAGCTTGGAAGAACATCCCAGGGTATCTGGAGGGAAGTTTCTCCTGGACACTTTTATAATTTTTGCGAAGGCTTTGGTACTGTTCCACACCATTGGGCCAGATCCTCAACATTTAGCATGCTTCTGTGACCCCATGTCTTAGTGGCTTTTGACTTTCCCTTCCCAGGTACTCTGGTGTAGAAGTAATTGTTACAGTTTGGCCACGGAGATGCTGGGTATGAAGGAACCCTCTGGCCCTCACATTAAAAGGCTTCTGTTTGATGCTACAACCTGTCTTGCCTGGTATTATTATCCACTTTCAGTGTTGAAAACTTGGAGGTTAGAGAGGTTAAATGACTCGCCCGCAGTTGCCAGGTGGTGTCAAGCTGATTCAGACTCAGGTTACCTGGCCCCAGACAACATGCATGCATCTAATTTTAGTCCAAACTTTAGGACTGGGCCAGGGCTTTCAACCTCAGCACTGCACATTTGGACTCAGACCGTGGGTGTGGGGGAGGACTACACATTTTTGGATGTCTAGCAGCCTCCCGGCTTCCATCCGACAGATGCCAGAGCACAGTGCACTTCCCATCGCACCATTACCACCCCCTAACTGTCCTAGACCATGGCTCCCCACTGGTCCGCTCCTGCCTGAGCAGCTGGCTCCTCTCTGGACTCACTGGCCACTACTGTGAAGCCGGCCAGGCTCAAGGTCCCAGGTGCTCTATGACTCAGTGGGACAGGTAGCAATTTTATTAATATTTACTTTTATACTAAACTATGTATGTTTGATTGTAACCAAGATAAGAGATTAATCTCTACTAGTGTTTGCTTTATAGACTGATGGTAGAATGTGGACCTGATTCCAGACAAGTGTTCTTGATAAGCACGTGTGAAATATTATTTGTGAAAGAGAGGAGCAGTCGGGTCATCTGGAGAGCGTGCCGTTGGCTGGTGTGAAGTCACGAGAGCCAGAGCAGGATACAGGCTGGAACACACACGCTGGTGGAAAGGGTATGTTTCAATTTGTGCTGGTGGAAAGGGTATGTTTGTTTCAATTTGTGTGCAGGACAAATCTGTAATTCCAGTGCCTCTCCAGACCTACCTCTTCTCTGTAACATTCTGTTCCACTTCTTGGAAATCTTTCTGTCCTCCCTCTGACCCTCTCCTGCACTCCTTTCCTTTTTCTCAGTTGGGCTTTGAATGACAGTACAAGTGATGGTTGCCCTTTGTTCTGGAAGCTCCTTCTTGTAAGGGAAGCCTTAGCCCACTGTGCCCATCCTAAACTCTAAGGACGTCTCAGTTTTGCAAGGCGGATTGAATTAGTGTGGCACAGAGAACAGACCTGCACTGTGCCTGGTACTAAGAGCTTGACAAACTCGAGGCAGTGGATAGGAGGAATCAAGCATGCAGGTCTCTGGAGGCCAGATCCCAGGCCTAGCACGAATTTCCTCTCCTCATTCACTAGCTGCAAGACCCGGGCAGGTATCACCCCTCAGTGCCCTGCTTTCCTCTGTTACGTCAGTGAGCTAACAAAATCTCCTTTGCGGGGTGGTTGCAGAGAATAAAAGAGCAGACACTGAAGACATACAGAGCACCTAGCGCCCCACCCCTGACTCACTCTCCACTTGGGTCTGCACTCTGACCAGCAGGCATCTCTCTGGCTGTTATTTGCATTTAGGTGCTAAAACTCCATGATGATTAAGAGGTCAGCACCCCTCAAGGACTCCAGAGGGGAAAAAGGAGAGACAGGAAGTGGAGAGCAGTCACAGCGTGCGGGGCATGCCAGGGGATGGAACAGCCATGAGCTGGGCCTGGAAGGCCAGCTGTGCTATGAGGCATGCAGAAGGGAAGGAGGAGCAGCTGCACCCGAGGAGAGCAGCACTGGCAAGACGGTGAGTGTCTGCACACCGCTGCAGTAATAGGGGAAGCTGGGGTTTTATTATTTTGATGGTGGAAGAGGAAGGTCACGAAGATGATGCTAGTCTTGGGAACAACCAGTGTGGAGAGGTAGACAAGAGGGAGGTGAGAGTGATGAGACAAGAGGCTGAGATCAGAGAAAGCAGAATAGGGATCAGGAGGGTTCTGAAGCATCGAGACATCACAGGTTGTGCTAGGTTGCCCAGCCAGAGTGGGGCTGCATGGAAGCGCTCACAGTAGGGTCAGCCGGGTACTGAGTTAGCAGAGTCGGCAGTTCGAAGTTATCAGATAGTTGAGTCTGCACTGCTCCTCCAGTGATCACAGTGGAATTCAAGAGGATGGGGGCATCAGGGACACACCGTCACCTCTATGGCTGGACAAAGTCACTCAGCTTTGGCTTTTAAAATGGAATCCCATGCAATCCCTGTCTTTCTGAGTCTGGCTTATTTCTCTTTACATAATGATCTCTGGTTCCATCCATTGTCCTGCAAATGATGTGATTTTGTTCTTCTTTATGACCGAGTGACACTTTTCATTTGGGAAATCTAGAAAAAAAGAAGACATGAAAGTGGAAGGAAGATGGAAGAGGAAGGGGGGGTAGGATAAGGATGGGTGATGGGCTAGCCCCTCACTCCTAGCAGGACCTCCTCTTGCCCTTCCCCTTACCTCTAGAAGGCTGGTCTTCAAGATCCTGCTCAAAGATCCTCCCGCTTCCGGTCTTCCCTTCCTCTCTTCTCTGCTCGAGTTGGTAGCTATCCCAGTGCCCTTGCCAGACAGGACAGCATGGCTGGATGAGGGGACTGCTGATGCTCACCCCAGACAAGCACAGCCCAGAGCACCATCCATGTGTTGTTCATTCTTTCACAAGGTAGGACCATGACTACCCCACTCTACAGACAGGAAACTGAGGCTTAGAAGCTTAGGCACTTCACCCAAGGCCCAGAGCCAGGAAATGACAAAATGGTCCTACATACAGGACTTTCCAAGCCAGAGCTCTTTCCTCAGGATCCCCTATCCCTGCACGCTCCCCTTTCCTGGCCCTTTCTCCTGGGTCTCACCTCTACTATTCTGCCTGTCAACTGCTCCCTGGGCATAGCCCTGACAGTGCCTTCCTCGGGGCCTTGACATTGGCTCTGTGCGCTTGGGCCTTGGCCTCCTTCTCTTTGCATCCGTCAGCTTGCTCACGAGTGGTTCTGGCTCAGACTCTTGCCCTGGGAGCGCTCCTGGGCCCAGCTGCCCTTTGTGCCCGTACCTGGAGAAGCTTGCTGCTCCTGCAGCCTTAGCTGGGGTTTAAATGAGTGGCCACAGCACAGGCAAAGATGAGTCTGCACCAGCATCAGCTATCTTCTCCACATGTAGGAGCCAGGCACTGGGCTGGGCTCCAGGGACACAGGAGTAAGCAAGACAGGTGGATATTAGCCTGTCCAGGGCTTGCAGCCTGGGCAGACACCATGAGGGCCTATGAGTGCAGGCCTCAGGATGTCAGGGTGGGTATGAAGCAAGCAGTACTGAACCGTGGTGGAGTCAGTCCAGCTGCAAGATCAGTGGGAAGGCAGTGTCCCAGTGCAGGGAACAGCCTGTGCAAAGGCCCAGGTGTGAAGAAGTGGGATGTGGTCAGGATGCTGCATGGATTAGCATGGCTGGAAAGTTGAGTGTGTTGGGCCTGTGTCGCAAGACCCCTTGGACAGCCAAACTTTGACCCTTTGACCCTGAGGTATTGCACAAGCCATGGCAGGACTCCTGTTCCCTCCGCAAGGTGTCCATGGGCTCCAGACAGCTTTGAGGACAGTATGGCACTGTGGCCAATGGCCTGGCTCTGCAGCCAGCAGGCTTGGGCTTCCTTCTTCATCCCCTGAGTGTGCTCGGCAAGCTGCGTACCTGCTTGTCACCAGGTCATAACTCTTATTTTTACAATTAGAGCTGAATCATTCCGCCTCTCTCTATGGTAACACCGAAGGCAGATGGGCTAGGCCCGGGACTGGAGAGCAACCCCTTTGGCCCTACGTAGCTGTGTGTGGGCCGAAGTATGAGACACCTTTGGCTGTGCAGAATACTCTGGCAGATGCGCTAGACACAGGACTCCGGTGCAATGCAAACACTCCAGACTGGCTGGGAAAGCTGCCTGTCAACCAGGCTCCCTCTTTCCCTTAAATGGCAGTCTCTTTCTTGGGGAAGAGCTTGCCTCTTGGCTTGGCTGTTCTGTTTTCTCTGTGGGATGCTGGGCAGCTGCTGTGTTGTGATTCTTTTCTGTGTTCCTTATCCAACCCATTTTCCTGCCCTCTCAGCCTGCTCTGAGTCCTAAATGGCTGATCCCTAATCCTTGCATCTCCCGGACTCCTTGACTCCCTCACTTCTCACCCGTTCTAACTACAGCTGAAGGGGTTGCTCCAGCAGGACAGAGAAGAGCATTAGGAGAGAGATCGTGATCTGTCCATCTCTCCCTCCTGGCTCCTTCTATGCCACAGTTCCGACCCTGCTTGCTATAGGGCCAGAATCATAGAGGGGTGAAGGATGAAGTGGTCGGGCGCTCTTCCTCACTGCCAGCCTCTTGGGATGCAGTCCTGTGCTTCCCTTTCAGCCATGGAGGGCCCAGGCTTCTGCCTCTTGCTAACTTCAGGCTATTCCACCTCTTGCTGGTTTCCTTCACCTTCCCTTGCCTCTGAATATAACCTTCACATTAAATCCTTTGCAGCCAGACCCTTTAGCACACTGTTTTTTGCTGCCAAGATTCTGATGAGCCCTTGCAGGGAGGGTCTGTAGAGTTTTGTCCTGGGAATAGACAGGGTCCCTGCTTCTCCCTGCCTCCCTGCAACTTCTGAGCTCTCCTCCTGAGGGACTGGCCAGCCTGGCTCCTGGAAGCTCTGTCTTTCTGGCAGGACCTGCAGAGAGGCAAGGGGTCCATGCAGAGGAAGAGCCCTTTTATCTTTGTAGGGAAGAACACAGCCTGTATTTCTAGAGATAGAATACAGACACTGAGGAGCTAGAGTGCTTGTTCCTGTGTGAGATTAAGTCACCTCCACCAATCATTCCATTCTGAATTGAATTTTTCCTTTCCTTTGTGTTCATGAAACCCTCCCAGTGATATCACTAGTGCCATTTACCTCAGTGACCTTCTGTTCCTCTCTAGGGTAAGTTCTAGGCCACAGGGCTTGCTAGCTCCCTGATTCTAAGCCACCAGGCCCAGGGCCACCCTGGCTAGGAAAATGCAAGTGGCCTGGAACAGGACTTTAGGGGCTATTAGAAGGTCTAAAATCCAACTAACAGCAAGATCTTGCAAAACAAGGAAGAAAAAGGAAACTGCCAAGCATATGGCATGTGTTGGGTCCTTTTGCACATAACACCATATCCAACACACACAACAGCCCAGGCAAGAGCACTCTTGACCCCACTGCAAAGGAGCCGTGTGTGCAGGGCCTGGGCTCACATGCAAGGGTCCTGTGTGTTACAGGACCTGGTGGAGAAACCAAGGCCACCTAGAGAGGTAAATAGCACCAAAAGTCGTGACAGTGGAGATTCAACAGATGAAAGGATAAATAAAGCACTGTTTATAAAGCAATGACCATAAAAAAGGATAACTTTGAATCATTTGTAGAAAAACGGATGCATCTTGCATTCATAATGCTAAGTGAAGTAAATCAGATACAGAAGGTTAAATATTGCCTGTTTCTTTTAAATAAGAAATCCAAAGCATAAAGAAAGAGCAAAATAAAAGACATTAGGAACTGGGAGATAAACTTTGTGGAGAAAGGAAGGGGGTTGGGGGATGGAGAAAGAAGAGGGAAAGGAAAAGAAGGGGAAGAAAAAAGGATCAAGATGAGGTATTTATGTGTACAGTTCCCCACAATTCATATGTTATGATGTGTCACAAACATATGCTAATAAGACATTCTAGCCTTGAATACTTTACGGACATCAACTGTCCCCATAGGCACTGGAGAGGGGGTTGCCTTAGCATCTGTCCCATCACTATCACCTGTGCGTCTTTGCACGTGGTATTCAGTGTCTACACAGTGTGGAGCCCTCCTGCACCCCACACTGCAGATGAGCGCCTCTCTCCATGCCTGCGTGGCCCCTCGTATTTGCCTGCACTGATGCACACAGTTGCCTTAAACCCAAACATGCTGCAGCTTCCTATAGAAAAATATTGTATTTGCAGGTAACCTATGTGCCTCATCTTATATATTTTATATCATCTCTAGATCATCTACGATACCTAACACAATCTAAATGTGATGTAAATATTTATTATACACCATTGTTTAGAAAATAATCACAAAGAAAATGTCTGTACATGTTCAGGAGAGTTGCAATGTTTTTCTCCAGGTGCATTTGGTCCATGCTGTTTGAATCTAAGGTGGTAGATGTGGAGAGCATTCTATTACTTTATACATCTAACTAAAGCCTCAAGAACTCTGCTGGCACCTGGAGGCGGCTAGCTGGAGAGCTCTCTTCCCCTCTGCATGTGGAGGCTCAGAGAAGTGAAGCAAATGACCTTCTAGTGTTGGGCAGTGCCAGCCTTTAAAAACGCTGCATCTGATCCTGGAGCTCTGTCTCATAAACCAGCTGCCCCAGAGTCAGGTTCACAGAGTTCCGCTTCTGTCAGCAGCACAGTGTAGTTTATTTGTTTTGTCTTATGTGCCTCAGTTTCTCCTCCAATGTCCTTGCCTCTGATGCTAGCCGCAGCAGGCCAGGTCATCATGTATGGTCTTCTCTTTTGGAGCAGATGCCTAGGCTGGGTCACAGGCAGTCCCTAGCTGGGTCCCCCTGAGCCTCCCTTGTCTCCTAGCCCACATTCACTATTGAACGCATGTCGCTTGATCTCTGGGCGCGTATGGATCCACACGGCCCAGGAGGGTGAACAAGTGACACAGAACTTGGCAGCAGCTGAGAAAGGGTTTCAGAAAGGCCTATGGCTTATTTCAAGTTTGATGGGAAGAAAAGACTGAACCAAAACCCAAGCAGCCTGTCTGCCAGG